GCCCCGGCGTCTTGCAGCTGCATGCCTGGATACAGGGCAGAGAAGTATCTCTGCTGGTGGACTCCGGTAGCTCGGCCTCGTTCGTGGATCACCGCATCGCTGCCAAGTTATTGGGGGTCTGCAAAATGGCCAAGACCTGCAGGGTTAAGGTTGCAGATGGAGCACTCTTGCACTGTGACAGTTTCATCCCTCATTGCTCATGGACATCGCAGGGCCATCAGTTTGTTACAGACTTCAAATTGATTTCATTGGGAGTGTATGACGCTATTCTGGGAATGGATTGGCTCCGCAAACATAGCCCCATGCATATAGACTGGGAGGCACAACACATGACAGTCACCACTCCTCGTGGTTCAGTTGATCTGCAAGCGGTGTCCAACAATCATCAGCAGTGTTCTGTGATTTCTTCCCATGGACTGATGTCAGCGTGTAAGCAGGGCTCGGTAGCTTATGTGGTTCACTTGAATGCGGTGAGCGAAACCGGTGCCCAAGAGGATGCAATACCAGTGGAAATACTCAGAGTATTGGAGCAGTACACAGATGTTTTTGAAGCTCCCAAGGGACTACCTCCGAGGCGTGCTTGCGATCATCGCATTCCACTCATGGAGGGGGCTCAGCCTGTCAACATGCGACCGTATCGTCACAAACCGGAACTCAAGAACGAAATTGAGCGTCAGGTCAAGGAACTGTTGGATGCCGGCGTCATCAGAGAAAGTACAAGCCCCTTCTCCTCACCAGCACTATTGGTTAAGAAGAAAGACGGCACATGGCGATTGTGTGTGGATTATAGATGCTTGAACGCCATGACAATTGTCAGCAAATACCCAGTGCCAATTATTGATGAGCTGCTCGACGAATTGGTAGGCGCCAAATGGTTTTCTAAGTTGGATTTGCACGCAGGCTACCATCAAATACGTCTAGCAGAAGGCGAGGAGTACAAAACTGCATTCACCACACACTCTGGGCATTGGGAGTTCCTCGTCTTGTCATTTGGGTTAGCAGCTGGACCTCCCACCTTCCTCGGAGCCATAACCTGCACACTACAACCTCTGTTGAGAGTCTGTGTAATCCTGTTCTTCGACGACATCTTGGTTTTCAGTAAGACTCTGGAGCAGCATGTAAAGGACCTGAAGCAAGTGATGCAGTTGCTCCGTCGAGACCAGTGGCATGTGAAACAGTCCAAGTGTGCCTTTGGTCAGCGCAGGATCGCCTACCTAGGGCATGTGATCGATGAACATGGCGTCTCCACAGACCCGAGCAAGATTGAAACTATCAAGACTTGGCCTACTCCACGCAACAGCAAGGAAGTGCGAAGCTTCCTAGGATTGGCTGGTTACTACCGAAAATTTGTCAAGCATTTCGGCATCATTGCGCGACCCCTTTTCAATCTACTCAAGAAGAGCCACCCATTTGTCTGGACGGCAGAAACTGCCAAGGCATTCACACTCCTGCAACAAAGCCTAGTATCAGCACCAGTTTTGCAGCTTCCGGACTTCACCAAACAGTTTGTCATCGACACGGACGCGTGTGATTACGGCGTGGGGGCAGTTTTGCAACAAGGTGGACATCCAATCGCTTACATGAGCAAGCCGCTCGCTCCTAAACACCGGGGTCTGTCGACATATGAAAAAGAATGTTTGGCCATCCTCATGGCAGTGGAACAATGGCGACCGTACTTACAACACGATGAATTCTTGATCCGCACGGATCAGCGCAGTTTGGTCCACCTCGACAACCAACGTCTATCTACAGTATGGCAGCAAAAGGCATTTACCAAATTGCTAGGACTACGGTACAAAATTTCCTACAGGCAGGGCAGCACTAACAATGCGGCGGATGCACTGTCTAGACGCAATCACGCGCAAGAGAGCGCTTTGGCTGTCTCAGTCTGTCAACCAGCTTGGGTAGACGAAGTCAGAGCAAGCTACAGCGATAACAATCACGCCAAGAAGCTACTTGAACAATTCTCCAAACAGAAGGATCCCAAGGGTCGTTTCTCTGTCTTAGAAGGACTGTTATACTTCAGAAACAGACTGTGGCTCGGCGGCTCGCCTGCTGTCCAACAGAAAATCCTTCGTGCCTTCCATGACAGTATGGTAGGTGGTCACTCAGGCTTCCCTGTGACCTACAGGCGTTTGAGGCGACTGTTTGCTTGGCCCAAAATGAAGGAGATCATCAGGCAATATGTTCAGAGCTGTGTGATCTGCCAACAGGCTAAACCAGAGAGGGTCAGATACCCAGGTCTGCTCGAGCCCATCCCGCTGCCTGAAGGTGCTTGGAAAGTTGTTACTATGGATTTCATCGATGGCCTTCCGCAATCGGGCAAAGCAAACTGCATTTTGGTCGTAGTGGACAAATTCACGAGATATGCTCATTTTCTGCCTCTCCAACATCCATTCACAGCAGCCAAAGTAGCCCGGTCATACCTGGATAACGTTTACAAGCTCCACGGTCTACCGAAAGCCATTATCTCAGATCGGGACCCTGTCTTCACTAGCAAGTTTTGGCGTGAACTTTTCTCCATTATCGGCTCAGAGCTCAACATGAGCACTCCGTACCACCCCCAGACAGACGGTCAATCGGAGAGGGTAAACCAATGTCTTGAGATTTACCTAAGATGTTTCATCCATGCATGCCCAAATCACTGGAGCCAATTCCTCTCTCTCGCAGAATTCTGGTACAACTCTAGTCACCATTCTGCGCTGGACATGTCACCCTTTCACGCGCTGTATGGGCATGAACCCAGGCATTGGGGGATCGAGGCAGCATCAACTTGCACAATCCCTGCCCTGAAGGACTGGTTGGAGGAAAGGAAAACAATGCAGCAGGTTCTTCGGCAACATCTGCACCGGGCTCGCCACATCATGAAGGTGCAAGCAGACAAAAAGCGCACAGACAGAGAATTCACTGTGGGGGATGCGGTCTTCGTCAAGTTACAACCATATGTGCAATCATCAGTTCACCGCCGAGCCAACCACAAGCTTGCCTTCAAGTATTTTGGCCCCTACAAGGTGATCGGCAAGGTTAACCCAGTCGCATATGAGCTGGAGCTGCCACCAGAATCCAAGATCCACCCGGTGTTCCATGTATCTCAGTTGCGGCAAGTTCTCGCACCAGGTACAGACTCCTCTGACAAATTGCCTGTACCTCGATCTGCAGAGTTGGTTCCCGTTGAGATGCTCGACAGACGCTGGCGACAGACTCCCACCGGACGACGCGAGCAGTATCTGGTGCGTTGGTCTGATTCGGAGCTCCTGGATGCTACATGGGAGGACGCACTCGCACTTAAAGCTCGCTATCCTGTCGTAGCAGCTTGGGGACAAGCATGCTCTCAAGGGGTAGGGGATGTCAGCGTCCCAACTACAAATGCAGCTCGGGGCAACCACAACGCTGACGAGGCAGCAACAGATCAGCCACAGGCCACCAATCAGAAGAGGGAGCGCGTCATCGCCAGGCCACCTAGGATCAAGCACCCAAGCCGCCGCTTCGTGGGCCCAGAGTGGTTGAACGCTATATAAGCTGGCTCAACCAGAGAGAAGACCATCCTGGCTGGGATCACGGCAAACGGCACGGCTGGCATCTTGTTCCCCTTTCTTCTTTCTTTCTTTCCAAGCGAACTGCTCCAGAGAAGTATATCGGTGTGCTACTCTGTAATCTCTAATCCAGTTAGTGAATAGATCGGGTTCCTAACAGTAGGAGTGTGACAATTGAACTGGGCTGGAGCATTTGAACATCATGCTCGTCAGATACAATGGCGCCAATTCCAGCAAACAAAGTGCTGAAAATTGGCATAACCAAGACATCATTGAAGCTGAAATCGAAGTACTTTTAAAAACTTTTTCAGCAAGAGACCTAACCAAGTGGGATAAACCACACCGTTTGCTGAAATCGTAAGAACAGGCAGTGGTTTTAAAATCAGATTGGTCACTTCCCAAGTTCTCATCGGTGATGGCAATAAGATAGCAGCATTAGATACTGCATCACAGCACAAACGATGAACCTTGGTACCAGAGACCACGGGCTAATGAGAAGAAACTAGCACCTTCAGATCGGAAACTTGTAAGCAACTAGGCCCTCTCACCACAGATGGCACAAAGGTGTGTGTCCCTGAAGAGGCCGACGAGGTAGGCCTCGGCGCCCTCCTCGCCAGAGCTCTGGATAATGTGGTTTTCACAAAGAAGTTGGATTAAAGAGACAAAAGAACAAAAACAGAAAACCTTGGAGCGATAAGAGGTTGGGAAACAGAAAACACAACGGCAGGTTTGAAAGGACTTGTATAGAGGGCTGATTTGAATGGCTATTAGTTTAGTCAACACATAATATCTGATGCACCATACTGTCATAAGACTAGCTTCAAAATTGATTAAAAATATGTCAATTACACTACAGTTTATAGTCAGGAAAATGAAGCCACGATCTTACTTTTACTACTCCAGGAGGGGAAAATGGTTTCTTTCAAATTTAACTGTATGGCTCTATGTCCAGAAGCCATGTGACGTTTACTCGTTCAGTACACTAACCTGGGACAGATTTCAGAAACTTCAAGTGTTTCAATAACAAGATGTGAAGGTCAAATCAAAAAGATCAGTGCACTAGGCTTCAAAGAATACAAGATTCATTCCACTAGCATCACAGTGGAATAACATGTAATGGAACAAACTGAAAACTGGAGGAACAAATCGCCACTTATCAGGTTGCAAGAAATTTCTTTCAACGCGATAAGGTTTGCAAACAGCACGAGCGCAAAAGGCATCGCGAAGCACAAAATTCCAAGAAATTTCTATCTACGCAATGGGCATCACAAAGCACAAAATTAAGATCTGAGAGCCAACTTTCACATTGCTGATGGCAACAAGAGGGTAACATCAGACAGTACACTAGAACATAACACGGCCAAGCTACCACGAACGAGGGACCTTCCTACCACGATACAAGATCAGACACATGCTATGATGAAGCTAACATCTCTACACCTCCAGATCAGACAAATACGAGGCAACCTACGCCCTCTCGCCACGGATGCGGCGGGCGAGCTGGATGTCCTTGGGCATGATGGTGACGCGCTTGGCGTGGATGGCGCAGAGGTTGGTGTCCTCGAACAGCCCCACGAGGTAGGCCTCGGCGGCCTCCTGGAGCGCGGAGACGGCGGAGCTCTGGAAGCGGAGGTCGGTCTTGAAGTCCTGCGCGATCTCCCGCACCAGGCGCTGGAAGGGCAGCTTGCGGATGAGCAGCTCGGTGCTCTTCTGGTACTTGCGGATCTCCCGGAGCGCGACGGTGCCGGGGCGGAAGCGGTGCGGCTTCTTCACGCCGCCGGTGGCCGGGGCGGACTTGCGCGCCGCCTTGGTCGCGAGCTGCTTCCGCGGCGCCTTGCCGCCGGTGGACTTCCTCGCCGTCTGCTTCGTGCGGGCCATCGGGGCTGGCGGGTGGGGGTGGCGGGCTCGGGGTTGAGGCGACGAACTGCTTGGGAGATTTGGGGGCTGGGATGAGGAAGACGGGGAGGGGGTCCGGGGGTTTTAACGAGCGGGAGGAGGCGGCCGGTGGGCGCGAGTCTGGGGAAATTTTTGCGTTTCTGGGCGCGATGTGCTTCGGGAGGGAAGTGGAGTTCTGAGCGTTGGATCTGCGGGAAGTGGGTGGTGAGGATTAGTTTCAGATGAGTCACGCGGATCGTAGGGGAGCGATCCGTGGCGCGCTGGTTTCTCGATTTTGATTGCCTGGTTGCAGTGCAGCTGCGTTGTGTGCTCGGGCGTGCTGGAACTGTGGCCTGCGTAGACCCCTCTTCGGTTCTCTTTTTTTTAAGTGTTCTTCGGTTCTCTCATGAGTGGTGTGATGGAGCCCGGGCGGAAGCTGGGATATGTGACGCTACATTTCTCCCTTTTCCATTTTTACGCCAGAATTCAGACTGCGTTCCTGTGGTTGCAATAGGAGCAGAATTTATCCATAGTATACTTGAACTTGAGTCGGCGTTTGACTTTGGTCACTGGACTTAAATATACTTTAAATTCGGTCACTATACATGCTCTATATGTATTTTTACTTACATTGCCTTAGTTTAGCGATCAAACCGACGACGGCGTGAACGAGACCAACGGACAGTAACCTCGTAGGCATGGCCTCCAAGGTCAGTGGTACCGTCGTCGTCATTTCCATCTAGACTAGGCCAAGTAGCAGACGATGGCATGGCACTGCCGACATTGTCGTAGTCGTTTTTGTCTGAGCAATCTTTGTCGCACCGCACCACTTGAGGAAGGCGCTCGAGGCGTCGCGGCATCCCTCTCCGATCGTGGTGTCACGCTCGCGGGGCAGACGCTTCGACTCCTCCGCCCTGCACCGCCTATCACCAACTTGTTGACGAACCGTGCCCTCAGACTCGACCAGCACAACTTGGAGTTACGCGTTGAAACAGTGCTGGCACAGGGGGCGTCCAACACCACGATGATCTTGGACGGATCCAGAGTACAAAGCCTATGCAGGCGCGGGGTGCAAGAGCACCCAGATCGGTCGGGACAGGGTTTTGGCAGATGTTGTCGAGCGGTTGCGCCTAGTTGTTCCCACACACCTCCACCTCGAAGAGACATTTCTTGCCACGTGAACCATGGCCTTAGAGGTGGTAGTCAACACGGCGTTGCGGCTTCTGCGGGGACGGAGCCCGTTGGCGACGCAGCAAGCGCGAGTGTGACGGAGCCCGTTGGAGAGCATGGGTTCTTCTTCTTTCTTTCTTTTTTTTGCATTAGGGATTTTAGTGAAGCAGCTATATGGGTCTCACCGGTCATAAAAACGGTCAAATTTAATTGTTTCAGATAACATGGACCTGTCCAACAGGCCCCAACATTCGTAAAAACAGTTTAAATTTAATCAACCGGTCATCATTGTTTTTTGAAACTAAAAACCAAATTTATGGTAGCTTTCGGTGAATTTTAAAAACATATAGTTTTTTTTAACCCTTGCCGCGGTACTGATGGTTTTATGCTATATACTCTCCCCTCTCCATGACTCCATGCCACGTGCATATTCATTTGTAAAAAAAAAAACACTTGCATGTTCCTTTGCTTCAGTGTTATAAATTCCACTTAAACTTCATGTTTGTTGCAAAAGCAATAAGGCAATTTCTGACATAATACTGTCGTCTCAAGTCACAAAGTTCTGACTTCTTCAGTTCAGTGCGGATATTTCACATTCCATTTGAAGTCCAAACCCTACAAGCACAACAGTCGGTAGATAAAAAATTACTAGTCCATGATACTGACACACCAAGTCAACAACTACAGGCAGCAGACTATTAACCAACTACTAGATGATACTGATGCTGCAAATACAAATTACAGCAATTGTCAAACTTGAAAATTTAATAGTGTCAACAAGGTGCTGCAAACTAATTGAAAAGCAATGCTAACTTCTAGAGTTACAAACCAAAAGCAGGAGCAAGGCAAAATCATGGCGTTGATGTTGCTCATCATTATCTTGACATGAACACAGCGGTACTCATAAACTCATGCAACCAATCCAAAAAGTTTCAAGGAACTGAAACCTAACATTAACAATACAAGTGTTCAGTCCCGTGGCACAATTCGGTTCAGAAGAGCAGAAAAGCAAACAACAGTCAGATCATAAGCGACGTTACTAAATCTCAGCTTGCAAAAGAGGCACCATAGATTCATAATTCTTTTCTTACAGCAAACGAAGCATCGGCAAGCATTCAGCAACTCCCATCCAGCACTAGCACTGCTTCTACTTGGCGATAACCAGGGCGAACAGCTATTGGATACAGGCAATGGAATCTAAGAGGAGGTGAACTTGGTGACGGCCTTGGTGCCCTCGGAGACGGCGTGCTTGGCGAGCTCCCCGGGGAGGACGAGGCGGACGGAGGTCTGAATCTCCCGGGAGGTGATGGTGGGCTTCTTGTTGTAGCGGGCGAGCTTAGCGGCCTCGCCGGCAAGCTTCTCGAAGATGTCGTTGATGAAGGAGTTCATGATGGACATGGCCTTGGAGGAGATGCCGATGTCGGGGTGCACCTGCTTCAGCACCTTGAAGATGTAGATCTTGTAGGTCTCGACGCTCTTCTTGCCCTTCTTCCGGCCCCTCTTCTCGCCGCCGCCCTCCTTGGAGGCGGTCTTCTTGCCAGCCGGCAGCCGCTTCTTCCCGGCCGGGGCCTTTTCGGCCTTCTCCGTCGCGGGCTCCTCCTCCGCGGGCTTCTTCGCCGCCGGCTTCTTCTCCGCCTTGGGGGCCATCGCTGCTCCGGAAAGACGGGTGGGGATTGGGTGCTGCGGTGGAGAGTTGCGTGCGCACGGGAAGGTGTGTGGGGGATTTGGAATTGGAGTTGAGGAAAGAAGGAGCACGGTGCTAGGTTTATAGTGGGAGAGAGGTCAGCGCTGACTGGTGGAATTGTGGGTGCCGTGGATCCGTGACATGGCATCGTATGAACCGTTCGTTCGATATTGCTTGCAACGATCCAGATTTGCTGCGGTGCGTCTATAGCTGTGGTGGCAAAAACCGTGTACGATATTTTTTGTTTTGTTTTGGAAAAGACAAGCAAGGGATATTGGAACGGCAGAATTTGATTTCGGAGAATGGATGGCGCGATGATATATTTTCCCATATACTCATGTTGTTTAGATGTATTTTTTATTTGAATTTTATGCATGTGAGTACTGTTTTAAATACATTTTAAAGTATTTTCTATAAAATGGCAATAGGAGTTTGTGGCAACAAAATTGAAAAAATTGTGGGAACACCATGAACTTGAGCTTCCCCCATAAAAAGTACTCCCTCCGTCCGAAAATACTTGTCATCAAAATAGATAAAAAGAGATGTATCTAGAACTAAAATACATCTAGATACATCTTCTTTCATTCATTTTGATGACAAATATTTCTAGACGGAGTGAGTAATACGAAGAATCTACATAGTTGTCCATTTTATTATTGAAAATTGTTACTATTAAATATGGAAGGAAAAGGAGTGCCACGAAATCAACCTGGCAATTTGACTCATGGGCGCCTGCGTCCATGGACACCCGACCTGGATGGGTAGGATATGGGTCGTCATATTGGCCCATGGGTAAGCCCGATGGATAACTTGATTAGTCATGGATAGGGTATGGGCATAGGGTTCTGCCTGTAGGTCGTCCGATGGGTCACCCGATTAATATTAGTGAATAAATATATTTGTTATTTTACATGATGTGTGGACGTTTTGGTCAAGATACATGGTAATTAATTTCTTTAGTACAGCCAAACACTGACAGTAGCGATGCATCTTTGCTTCACTTTTCATTTCCTGCCGATCGCTCCACAATGATAAGGCCCATATCAAGAAATAAGAGATCCAGTGAACCTCCAGCCTCCTCAGCCGTTTGGCATTCCTGACCATTGGATCTGGTTGCTTGATGCGATCTGAGCCGTCAGATCGAGCCCTGAAATGACCTCGTCAGTCGGATAAAAAATAGTTACTGTTGCAATGAACAATTTCACCTCGACCGTGCCACCGCGCGTAAATAGCCTACCCCGTCGGGGGCATTTTCGTCATTTCACTCGCCCGGGGTATAAAAGGGCCGGCTCCCGTGGAGGCAACCCTAGCCGGCTCCCGCCCTCCTCCCGCACGCCTCCTCCCCCTTTCTCTCGTTCCCCTTCCCTCCCCTCGCCTCCTCTCCTCCCGCCCACATCGCCGCCGCCGCCGCCGCCACCCGCCTCCCCGCGCCGTCGGCGGCCAGATCCACCGCAGCAAAGCCCCCCCCCCTCCCCAAAAGCGGAGGGAGGACGAGGAGCAC